AAGACACTAAAGAAATGCTTCTAAGAAAGTAAGCTCCTCCAGGACCAGTCATTTAATCTTGCCTCTCTTATATGAAATTTCCTAATCTCGTGGAAAACGAGGATGCTCGAGGAGCTTGTTGTTTCCCTCCGCTCCGAGATGATCTTTCTCAATCTTCCCTTCCAAAAACTAGTCTTCCGAAGTGTAATCAAGTCGCTTCAATTCGCCTCGCTTTAAGCCAAGCTCTTCAACTTCGCTCGAGTATAGTTTCCCCAGCTATCCATCCATCATTGTCGGCCTCTGTCACTTCTCGATCGCTCCCCCTCTCTCTCCCCCAGCAGCAAAGCGACGCGCGGTGGAAAAATTTCGCGGGAGAAGGTGGAGAAATTTCGTCGATCGAAAACGATTCCAAGTTTCGAGAAGCGAGGATAGGAAACTTGTGGGAGGGGCTCGAGGTGGTTGGAAATCGAGTGGAGATCGACTTCGCCCCTCGAGGAGAGCGATTTTCTTAGCGAGACCTCGTCCGGGCATAAATTGGACGTAAGTGGCGCGATCGGCCGGCTGGATACTTGGCAAGCAATGCGGTCTCGCCTGGAGCGCTTCGATCGGTGCGCTCTGGAACTGGTTCGAAACCAGTCCAGAGGCGTCGAGACCTGTCCGCCCGATCCGACGCGTCATTCACGAAAGAAATCGGAATCTCTCGCGGTACGGAGTGCTAATTGTGCGCCACGGCTGCTCGTTAATAGCCGAGCGCTTGCTCTAATTATTGCTCTCGACGATACGTTGCGAGATACGTGACGCAACAGTGGCTCCAATGACGTGTATTAAACAAAATTCATTTTCATATGTATGTAAAAATATAATTGTTTTAATCCTCTTTTTTAAATGTTTGTTTAAAACGAAATATATATATAGGCAAAGAATTGATCGGTCAATATTTCAATAATTGAGAAATATTCTGTAAATTTTTTAAGAAACATTTGAATTTCATATATAACATTTATTTTAATTTAAATCATTATAAATTATAGACAAGTTTTTTGTTTTTTTTAAATTAAACTTGA